ATGCTCACCATGATAAGTGTATACCACCTGTCACCATACAAGGATATTACAATATTATGAACTATATTCCCCAGGCTGTGCTTCCATTCCTGTGTCTAAATTATTTTATAATTTGGAGTTTGTACCTTTTGTCCCCTTCTCCCAGTAGATTATTTATATTCTTATTCACATTTTCATTGCTACTTTCATTCTCCTTTGACCATTCAAAGGGATGCCCACTCTCCCGGGAAGCTGGGCTAAATTGAGGGACGCAAAAGCTAAATAGAAACTCATAAAAGGCTGTTCTTCAGTAATTCACCAATGAGAAGTGGGCAGGCCATTCAGGCCTGTCTCTACCCAGAGCTGCTGAGGAAAAAGAACTAAGGGACAAATGGAGAGAGAGAGATTCCAGGAGGTTGAAGGTCCTGCAAATGTTTAACCTGACCCCAATCTCAAAAGCCCTTGTGCTCTTGGGCTTATCACATTTCCAAATGCACCAAAAAATAAAATATCAATTAGACTATCAGAGCCAAATTTAATGTCAAAACTCAAGAGGGAAATTAAGACAAACTGAGCAACTCTCATCTGGTTATTTCATGCTGGGTGATTTCTGGAAGCCCAGGGTTCATTAGCAAAACCTGCTGGGATCCAAAAGTCATTTTCCAAAGGATATAGATGCACTTGAAATCTTCAGTAAAAGCAGCAGCAGAGAACAGTAGGACTTCCAGTGAATTTTCCTGGCATTAAGGCACACATCTAGATCTGTGCACAAATTAACATGCTGTTCATCTGCCTACAGTGTAGGTGACCAACAGAGCAGAAAGCTGTGACTTGGGTTATAGTCTAAGCAGAAGCTCAGAACCTGGGTAACAAGACAGAGCAACATTTACGGGCTGGATAGTTGTGGGGAAGTCCAGGCAGAAAGCCTGTGAAAATAGGTTCACTATTCTTTCCTGAATCTGTGTAACAGGCCCAGGGCTCAGGTAGCGGTGCAGAAGGTCGAGGCCATCCCTTTGTTATGATCGGGGAGAGAAGTCAGAGCAGGGAAGTTGAGGAAGGCAGACTCTTGAAGCAGATCCCTTCTTCTGCCCCTAGATACCACTCCCATATAAATAAAAACAGGCCTGCCAGGTGTATGAACTGAACAGTTTGTCCAAAACTAGGTAGTTTGACAAGCAACCATTTAAATAATTCAGTGGTCCTCGGCTTTGGCTGTACCCTAGCCTTGTACTAAAATGCTGATGCCTGGACTCCTCCCTTCTGTGACTTGGATTCAACTGGGATGGGATGAAGCCCTGGCATAAGTAACTCTAAATAAAGTTATTCAATATAACAATGAAGCAAAACTGAAGGAACAAAACAGCAGCAGACTCACAGACTGCATGAAGGGACTAGGGGTTACCAGAGGGGAGGAGTAGGGGAGGGCGGGTGGGGAGGGAGGGAGAAGGGGATTGAGGGGTATTATGATTGGCACACATGGTGTGTGGGGTCATGGGGAAGACAATGTAGCACAGAGAAGACAAGTAGTGACTCTGTGGCATCTTAATATGCTGACGGACAGTGACTGCAATAGGTATGGGGGGACGATAATTTAGAGGGTGAATGTAGTAAGCACAATGTTTTTGATGTGAAACCTTCATAAGAGTGTATGTCAATGATACCTTAATAAAAAAAAAAGAAAGGGAAGTTACTCAAGTGATTCTTAATGTACATTCAGGACTGAGAACCTCTAATTAATTTAAACGCCTTAGGACTGCAGTAATCACACAATGGCTAAAACAGAAAATGATCCCCAAGAATGTGAGCCCTAACTGCTGAGGAGGGCTTTTCAATCAATGCAGATTTAGCATGACTTAATTTAAGGACAACTTAAAGATTAGGGAGCAAGGGATCAAATTGTTCCTAGATGTTAACTTATTTTTAAAGCTCATACAAAACATTATCTAATAACCTGATGAGAGTTATTTAACCTAGTTATTTTTAAAAGAAATTTTTACTCTAATAAAAAGTGGGAGAACATCTAATCTCATATCTGCATTAAACTCAGGATTCAGTATCACGGGGTATGGGTTATGGGGTAGTGAAATGAACTCAGCTCTGAGATAGCAGAAAGAAGTGGGTGCAAATGCTGTGTTGCCAGCGGGGCCTTGGGTGGGTGACTCAACTTCTCTGAGCTCCTAAGACAAGGATAATGATACCTGTTTCTCAGAAGGTTCCCAAGGATGAAGTAGGACAGCACAGTCATTGCGTCTTTGTTAGGCTCTACACTGGTACTATCTGGGTTAACTCAGGGTTCTGGGAAAGATGTTCAGGGAAGCTGGGAAAAAGTCCCCACCTCCCTGAATCCGCCCAGGGCTACTGCAATATGCCTGGGACAGGAGGCAGCCCCGGCTGGTCAGTGGTGGCTATTCTTTTCTCTAATGGTCCACCAACATCATGGTTCAAATATTTTCCATTTGCACTAACTGTGGATTTATTGGTTCCGTCTTACTCTGTTTTGAATGCTGATTAGCTGGGCCTATCACTCTCCTCTATGGGGATGTCTGTTCATTAAAGCTTCCACCCCAAGCCACTTCACAGGCCACTTGACAGGTCACGTGGCACCAAGCATGCATAAAGAAACCTTCTGAATAGCTGGCAAGTGTTCTGCATGGCCTAATACCTTGCTGGGCACCCCAGCCCGCGAGAACTCATTAAACAGCAGCAGAAACATCAAAAACACCCAAGCATTTTCTGTTGTTTGTGTGACTGTAACAAAAAGTCCCCACTAGAGGGCAGGAGACTTTAACTTAAGATGATGGTTTTCTGTTTTTTTTTTACAGGTGAATAAACCGGATAAATTATAATTACTGAATAATAAATAATCATGGGTAACATTTCTTATATATTTCCTAAGGGCCATGAGCTCCCATAAGCATTTTATATGCATTATTTTATTTATTTATTGTATTCTTTTCCCCTAGTTCTTATCATAAGTTGTAATTATACAATTGTTAGCTGCTTTTCATTTCTGTCCCCACAGCTGGACTGGAAGTTCCATAAGGACGTCTGTTTAACTTATAGTCAATACTGATTAGTGAGTCTGGAACACTGCAGTAGCTGAATAAGTACTTGTTGAACAAATAGATGTTGAATGAACTGAACCTTGATATCAAAACCAAAAGATGAAGGCTATTATTATTGTAGTACATTGTGTTTTGTGCTTAGCAAAATTGTTTTTAAATTTGTAATATCTCTTCTTAGGTATTTGAAATTAATTACAAAGTGCTTTTCCCACAGTGTTCCTTCAATAGCTTTTATATGTTTTATTTTGGGGGAAAAATGTTCTTTTTTAGAGAGTGATAGGCATTATCAAAACTAAATTCACAGAAATAAAAAAAACTAAATTCACTAAGTTTCCCTCTTTGGAAAAACTTGTACTATTAACTTATTTTGATTAAAGTCATTATAATTATCTAGACCAATTTGTTAATTTGCATTCAACAAAATCTTATATGTTGATGCCAAGAAATAGCATAGAAATCATGTTAAGAAGGAGTTTAACAGAAGCTGCACCAGCCTGAGCCATCCATCCCCTGTTTTAATAGTTAGAACATGAAGATGGGCCAGTGTCAAGAGAAAGGTTAGCCTCTGGGACAAGAGTGGGGAAAAAAGACAGTTGGAGGACACAGCGGAGGTCTCCCTTCTGCCCATCAGACAAGGACTGACACCAGCAAATGCAGACACTGAAAAGGGTAAAGAGAGCTACTTTGGAGCATCTCTCAATGCTGTCTATGCACAACTGTCTAATGATAAAACTTCTAATAATGAACTGTATCTTTTTCACAAATGACGTTTGCATCTTCCCACCAAGCTTCTAACTCCCTCCTGATGACCCAAAGACCACAGGCACCTCAAACATAACTTCAAAACAAGTCCCACCTCCTCCCCCTCCTGCAGGTGGCCCCTGCCCTGTGCCTGGCTCTGTGACCGACTACCATTCCTCTCTCTGGTATGGGTTATTGTGTCCCCCAAAATTCCTGTGTTGAAGGCTTAACCCCAGGACCTCAGTGTGAGGTTATTTGGAAATAAGGTTATTGCAGAGAGATAGTTGAATTAAGATGAGGTCATTAGAGTGGGCCCTAATCCAACATGACTGGTGACCCTATAAAAGGGGAAATTTGGACACAGAGACAAGTACACAGGGTGAACGCCATGTGAATGTAAAGAAAGAGATCAGGTGATGGTTTTACAAGCCAAGGAACACCAAAGACTGCCAGCAACCCACCAGAAGCCCGGTGAGAGGCATAGGACACATTCTCATTTACAGTCCCTGGAAGAAAACAACCCTGCTGGCACCTTATTCTTGGACTTCCGGTTTCCAGAACTGTAAGACAATCATTTCTGTCATTTAAGCCAACCAGTTTGTGGTACTTTGGCACAGCAGCCTTAGAAAACAAACACATTACCCAGGGAAGACTGACCCTCCCTCTCTCACGGACCACATCCACTGACGAGGTGTCAGCCAGGTAACCTCCAAAACGCCTCCTAAATTCAGCTGCTACTCTGTTTCCACTGCCTCTGGAGGCGTATGGGGTAACAGGGTAATCTGTAAACCCGGTATAAGGAGAGGATAGAAAGGGACTTGGTTGGAGCTGGCGAGCAGAGGGTCAGGGTGCACCTAGCCAAGGTAAGATAAACACTGACTTACTTCCTGCTTGGAGAACGCTGAGACCTCAGAGGCTGCACGGGTGCCAAAGAGGTGGGGCTGGCTGCAGGCTCCACCAACTTTGGGCCTGGGCTTTCTTCTGGGATGTGGGTTGGAGGATGAGAGCTCTTGGGGGCGCCTTTCCTGCCCAGAGTCCCTAGGCATGGCTTCGGCGTGCACATCCCCGAGGCACCAGCTTTGTGTGGCTGCAGAGGGTGTCTCTTTTCCAACTGAAGACTGAATGGGCAGCTTTGCTGATGAGTGCCCAGGTTCCGGTCCAGGAGGCGTGAGCTGAGCTGAGCAGCCGCTTGGCATTCCCCAGCATCACCTCCAGCTCTGCCAGAAATGGGAGAGTTCACTTCTTTGTGAAAATCTCGGAATTGGATTCTCAACTTTGGGATCAAGCAGTGAAGGACCCGGAATACGACACCTCCATGGGCCCCAGAAAGACTGAGAAGCTGTGCTTGCCTTTCTGTGAGCCCTACGCCTGCCCTCCCCAAGCCCACATACCCCTCCTTCCTCCTCCCCAGGTGTCCTCCTAGCAGCCCTCCTCCGCCTTTCTCTGCGCCCCCCACCTCCCCCTCCCCTTTGCTTCACTCCCTTCCCACCTTTCCACTTGGCCCTACAGCCCCTCCCCTTTCTCCCTCCCCGTCTGTCCTCCGCCCCTCACCCGCCTCCAGCCCTAACTCCGCCACCACCCTCGCTCCGCCCATCAGTGTTTACCTTCGTCCCAGATCCGGATGAAGGCGCTGCCCTGCCCATGCCCGGCCCTGCCCCGCTGCTGGCGGCCTGGGTCTCACTCCATGGCTGAGGGCTCCGGCACTCAGTCCCTGGGGAAAGGGCCCCCGCTCAGCGTCCAGCTCCTGCGCGCACAGTACGAACTCTGGAGGCGGCAGCAGCGGGCCCAGGCCCACCTTGTGGTGCTCCCGAAAGGTAGGGCTAGGCAGGTGTTGGGCAGAAGGGGGGGAGAGGAGAGGAGGGTGCCTGGGCAAGAGGGGAGGAGAGGAGGCCGTGGCTGTGTGCAGAATGGCGGGTGGAGCTGCAGGCAGGGAGAGCCCTCTTGGTGGGGAAGAGCAGGGAGCCGGGTCTGTCGGAGTCAAGCCAGGATCAGGGGGACAGAACTCAGCTCCGTCCCAGCGCCAGCTGGACCAGGGGCCTCTACCCAGCGTCTGGCAGGCAGTCCGCTGTTCCTGGCCTCTGCTCTTATGCTCTGATCTTGCTAGACAGGTCTGCCTGGCGAGCTGGGCTTGGCTCCCCGTTAGGCCAGGTGGGCAGATGGGAGCTCTGCTTCCTGGCTGGGTCTCACCGAGGCACCCTGGAAGCCAGAGAAACTGCCTCTGGAGAGAGACGTGGTGTTTCCTCCAGCCTGGGTACCGGCCAGAGGACGCACAGGGCTCAGGCGCTCAGCAGGAGCCCTGACTCTTAGAGCTTCACTGCAGCCTCGAACAGTGGCCAGGGTGGTACAGTGGGACACAGAGTTCCCCTCCTCTGAGGAAAAGCCTCTTCCCTTTGGGAACTCAGATTTCATTCTGGAGGAAGGTAGGAGCACAATGCTCAGAAGGCAAGCGATTATCAAATCCCAGCCTTCATCCTCAAACCCAGGAACAGGTCAAGGGAGGCGAGAAGGTCCCCTGAAAGGTCAAGGCTGTGCCCAGAGGTTTCTGTGATTACTTGTATAGTTCAGGACTCATTGAGTGGCCCATGCTGCACCAGGCCAGGCTGGGAAGGACTCAGGGGCCACAGGGACCCCACTGTGCAGGACAGGAAGTGTGCGGCCTTTGGAGAAAAAGGTGACACCTCTGAGCTAAAGGTGCCCATCTCCCACTATTTGGGTGTCGCCAAGTGGGATCCTCTGCAACTGAACTGGCACAGCCAAACAGCCCCCCACCCCTGCAGGGCATAACCAAAAGGTTCCTAAAGCCCTATCTCACCCTCAAGGGTCTTTATTCATTTAGTCGTTCAGCAAACATTTATTAAGTTAAAACCACAATCAAATGAAAGCATGCCCCAACAACATCTCAAACGTAGGGTGCCCCATAGAATTCACCACACCCGATCCCCAGCGGCCCCTTCTCCTGCCTTCTATAACTAAGTCCTCCCTCGTCCTGTGATAGGTTGGGGCAGATTCGTGCAAGGTGGAGTGGTCAGGCAGTGCTTTCCAAGGACGTGGGAGTCTTTCAGGGTACTGCCAACAGTTGCCATTCCACGTTCCTTCTCTAATTGGGAGCTGCAGGGTACTGATGGCATGCTCAGCTACTTGTCTCATATCTGAAGAAGAGCCCGCAGTGAGTCCCAGCTCTGCCATTCACTTGCTGTGCCACTTTGAACAGGATACGTAAATTCTCTGTGTCTCAGTTTCCTCATCTGTCAAATGGGAGTAACTACAGTACCTAAAGGATAGGGTTTTTGTCGGAACTGAATGAGTGGATATGTAAAAACTCCTCACAGATTTATATGCTGACTGGCTGAGGACCGGGTCACCTATGCCATGAGTCTGGATCGTAAGGACACTTGAAGTCCTTGGACTGGGTGTGAGTAATAAGGTAGTTCTCCAGGGAGAAATCAGGGTAAGATTACAAAAAAATCAGGTAAAGTGATGCTAGGAAAGCAAAAAAGCAATTTTGTCTACACTTTAGCAACAGGACAGATGGTGGTACCATTCACTGAGGTAGGGAATGCAGGAGAAAAAGATTCCTGACAGAGAGAGATGCATTTGTGTTTGACTACGTAGTATTTGAGGTAGCTGTCTGTAGAACTTCAACCAGCCTAAACTTCAGGAGAGAAATGTGGACTGGACCTATAGATATGGGGTCATCAATATAGACGTGGTCATTGAAGTTGTAGGCATAGATAAAAATGTGGGGGGTCTGTGTGTAGATTGATAAGAGGCTGGCATGAAAATGAGAGTTCTGGGATATTCAGATATTTCAGGGACAAGCAGAGGAAGAGAAGCCAAGGATGTAGAGCGAATAGTCAAACTGGTAGGAGAGGTGCATTTATTCTGAAAAAGGAAGGAAGTTCTGACAGTGCTGAACCTTGGATGAACATGGACGGAACCTGAGGACATTATGCTAAGTGAAATAAGCCAGTCACAAAAGGACAGCTATTAAGAGTGCACCTATATGAGGTGCCTGGTGCTGTCTAGTTCACAGAGATGGGAAGGAGAAGAGTGGTTGCAAGGGGCAGGGGAGGAAGAAATGGAGAATTGTTTTTAATGGCTGTAGAGTTTCAGTTTGGGAAGATGAAGAAATTCTGGAGATTGGTTGCACAACAATGTGACTGTACTTAACCACTGAACTGTACACTTATAAATAGCTAAGATGGTAAATTTTATGTTATATGTATTTTACCCACAATTTTTTTTAGCGGTAGGAGGAAACCAGAAGCTATTAATATCATGAAGCCAGCAAGCAGAGGGAGTTTAGAAGGTAGAGCTCCTCTATGTCAAGTACAGCAGAGAGAACCAGGAAGACAGAGTAACCATTGAGACACACACACAAAATTTATTTCAGTATCTCAAGACATTGGGTTACATTTAGAAGGGCAGGAATTCTGGGAGCTAATGGAAAGAAGGGTCATGGAATTAGCTTTTTTTCATCCTATCTTAGCTTATGGGATGGATCTAAGTTCTTGTTACCCCAGTGGTTAGTGTCCAAAAGGCATATGCTTTCATCACACTCAGACAGTGTGTGCTCCATCTCGTGCACAAAAAGGACCAGGGATGGGAACTTACATCTGGGCTGGGTATTCTATAGGTACATTTCATTGAAACTTCTCAGCAGCCCTGTAAGATAGCTCCCCTTTTCAGGTCTCCATTCCCCATTCCTTCAGCCCAGCTGAACGAGCTCAAAATGTCTCTGTCTTTCCTAAGTGGTATCTTCTAGCAAACTGAGCCAAGGATGAAGAATTAAGGATGCATGTAGGTCATTAAAATATTTCTGTCCTCCCTAGTCCCTGACCAACCAGAACAAAACAAATGAAAAACATGATCTGAAATTTCCCTATACTCTTCAGACAATTGCTTCAATTATATTTTGCTTGGCCAGTGGAGAGCAGGCACCAACCAGAGGTGTGGAGGGGACCTCATGAATCTCAGCAGGGTCTGCTTTTGGGATAGGGACCCCTGAGTACCTCCCCACTTAGCCCCTTTCCTTGTCCTCCGTGGACCCTGGGCTGGGACTGACAGCAGAGGAGGCTCCTCTCTGCTGCCAAGATCCACCTGTCTGTCTTGGGTCCTTTCCTCCTGGGCTCACAGTGGGAGAGGATTCCCACTCCTTGTGTCCCCCATCATGTCCTCTTCCTCCTTGGCTTCAAATAAGGACACAGCATTTTCAATATCTGTAAAGGTTTTCATGTCTGTCGTGCTGACAGAATAGTGTGGCTATAAAGAAGTTGCAAATCTTCAGTCTTCCCTGGAAATAGTGTTTCTGGGATTGAACCTCTGTTTCTCTGGGACTCCCAAACCCAGAGCTCGGGAGCTTCCTTCTGACTCGATTCCTCCAACACATAACCTTAGTCCTGCCATGCTACCCATAGGGCCTCCTCTAGTGACAAATGCCGGAAAGCTCAAGTGAATCACTGACAATTCTGAGGGAACTCCAGGCTGGTCCCAGGCCTGCTTCCTATAGCAACATGCCTCTCAGCCATTCCCACAACCCTTGCTGCCACCAGGATTAATGATAAACTGTCATGTTCCACAAGGTGGTAAAAATACATCCGAGAAGGAAGACATGGGTTTGCACCCTCACCCCTGAAGCCAGTCCGAGAAGCAGTAGGTGCCATGCACATGTTCCCAGGACAGGGTCTGTAGGACAGGAGGAGGAAAAGGGCCTGTCCTCCAAAAGGAGCTGCTTCAAAACACAGCCCCTCTACCCCTGCCTTGGATGGGAAACCCAGGATTGGAATCCCAGAGCCCAAACCCCCATAAATGAAGAGACTCTCCTCTCCCGGGGGAGGGCACCTGACCAAATACATGGGTGACCGTGCATGTGCCCACCCTCCTTGCTGTCCTTTCAGCCTGCAATGCTAGCTCCCCAGCTCTTCTGAGGGGTCACTCTGCACTGCAGCCAAAAACCGAAATCTATTACTCAACTCTATTATGCTTGAGTTTTCCTCCCTAGCATTGTTACCCCCTGAAATTTTATTACATTCATTTGCTTATTGTTTTCCTGTCCCACTAGAATACACCCATGAAGATATGGATTTTGGCTCAGTGTTTACTGCTGTATAACCCGGACCTAGAGTCAAGGATGCTGGGCACATAATAAGGGATTCATAAATACTTACTGAATGAATGAATAATTGTGCATGTATGTGTTAGAGGCAGCTTGTGCGGGTGTGAATGTGCGGTTGGGAGGGAGTGCGGGTGGGATCAGGTATGTGCCCGGGTGTGTGTGTATACATGCATGCTGGGTAGTGGGTACCTGGCCTACTTGACATTTTGACTACAGCCTTCCTTTAGCTTGAATGCTCAGAGACCCCCAAAGTGAGAGCTGCCCCCGTACCTTCCAGTGGTGACCCTGTGCCTTGTTTGTCAGGAGGGAACATGCCTGCCCCTGCTGAATCCATGGTCAGTGCTGTTTGGATTAACAAGGAGAGAAGGCGGTCACTGTCCCAGGAACAGGTGGATCCTGAGGCAGAGGGGAGCCTGGAGGAGGCTGACAGAGGCTGTGTCCAGACCCCCGAGTCTCCATGGCACACGCATCTAGAGATGCACCGCTCAGTCCAGACCTTCCACCAGGAAACCAGTCTTCAGGAGCAACACAAGGGCAAGCTCATGGTGCCTGAGCAAAGCCTCCCTCAGGGAGGAGCCCCAGGCCCATCTGAAAACAATCAGGTGACTCAGGAAGGGACTGCGACCCCAGAGGCAGCCCAGCATGAACATCAGGTGGGCTGCACCCCATCAAAGGCAGTGGGGTCTGGCCTGAACACTGGCACTCAGTGCCCTCCTTCCATCAAGAGTCCGTGTAGGTCTGGAAAACCAGCTCCCTACCCCTTTCCCCAGAGGAAAACTCCCAGGATCTCCCAAGCTGCCCGCAGCCTCGGTTTATATGGCCCAGCCTGAAGCTTTCCACTCAGCCACTGACGGCCTCATCAAAGAGCCTAGGAAGCAGAGCCCCAATGAGGCCTGGAGCTTTGAGCAGGAATGGACTAATCCAATCGTAAGGCTTGTTGGACATGAACTGTGCAGTGGGCACACGGTTTCGCCCTTCAAAATGGCAGAGATTGCCCAGGCCAGACTGCTCACAGTTCAGGCTGAAAGAGTGCTGTCCCACCAGCGCGGCCCATTTCACTTGCATGAGGAGCCCTGATCTGCAGCCAGAAGGCCATCTGCTCCGTCCCCAGAAGTGGGGAATTTGGGGCCATACCACAGGCCGCCTCGCCAGGGAATACCCTAGCAGTGCCCTGGCGCCAGCAGACAGGGGCACCCTCGTTTTCAGGGTCTTCCGATGGCCTCTCACCTACTCTGGAGAAGATGGGCTCTGAGAACTGCTATTTCTGGTCACTATGCCTGGAGGCCAGCCCACTTAGAAGTCACCGCATTCTTGGTAGTGACCACTATTTCTGTTGAGTCCCCCAAATACGGTCACCCTGGGTAAAAAAGATCAGAACAATGCCACCCATCATTTGGTGTGTTTAAAGTGTCCTTAGAAAGGGTTGGTCGTGTCTCCCCTCTTACTCAGTCTCCCCACTCCAGTCTCATCTCGGATATATTTCCTTCCCTCCTTCCTTCTCTCCCTTCCTTCCTTTGCTTCCACATCTTTGTCTTCTCTCCTTCCCTCCCTTCCTCCCTCTCTCTCTCCAATTAAGTTCTTCCTTAGCACTGCCGATCATTGCAGGTACCTCCTAATAGGAGCCTGAGCAGGAGAAAGAAATGCGCCTGCATGGAAAATATGTGTTCCCCATGAGTCAAATTTAGTCAATATGTGGTCCCGTTTCAGTCAAATTTAGATGATTCAGATCCTTCCTGGGACATCTGAAACCTACAACAATGTGAAGCAGGTGTTACTTGGGTGATGGAGAGAAAGTAGGTCTTCCCCAGTTAATGTGTAACTTTGGTAATGGGATTTAAATACACGTAAGGTGCCTTTCCCTTATCAGATTCTCTCTGTAAAATTTCACCTGCATCCACTGTTTTTCCCCATGACAACTGAGTCCTGCCCATCTGCATCCAGAGTGGTTAACTAAGAGTGTCATTTCCTGTCAAAAATACGTGTGCCTGCTCCTTAGACCACCCAGAAATTCACTCCAATTTGGGGATTCATTGTGATTCCTTTGTGAATAATTAATGAGCCAATTGTGATTTTTGTAGTCTAATGAAAATACAAGGAAATTTTCTGAAGAAACTGTCTTTTGCCTTTGTTTTAAAGAGGATTCCCACAAGTAAACCCCCTTTCTACAATGTATCAATCAGGATAGGCTACATTTTGCTGTAGTAACAAGCAACCCCCAAATCTCCCAACAGAAGCTTTTTTATTCATGAAAAGTCGCCTGTGGATTTGGGCAAACTTCTAGGGCAGCTCTCCCACATGTATTACCAGCAATTCAGGCTGCTTCAATCTACAGCAACATCAGATCAAAACTGGTTTCCCTAATCCCTGTAGCAGGAGAGAAAAGTGCATTAATAGTCATGTACTAGCTCTCAAATCACTTCTGCTCATGTTTCATTGTGTAAAGCAAGTCACAGGATATGAGGAAGTGCAGTCATTCCATGTGCCTGGAAGGAGAGAAGAAATGGAAATGTCAGTGAACTGAACTAATGGCTAACACAGGTAGACAGGCTCCAGGTCACCGTACACTGCTAGATTTCATTCTCTATACACTAAGTAGCCATTAAGGGATTTACATATGAGATAAAATGATTTGAAGTGCAGTTTAACCAGATCACTCTGGTGTTCTATGGAGAAACAGTTGAAAGTTATGTTAAGAGGTAATATCAGGGGACAAAATGGCCAGGAACAAGTTTAATATGGAAGATGCTACTACCTCAAGCAAGAGTCCGGGCGGAGAGATGGAGGATATGTGGATACATTTGATATATTTGGAGATAGAATCAATAAGATTTACTAAAGGAAAGTTATAAGTTCAGTATGAAGGACACTGAGTTGGAGATGCTCGTGAGACACATAAATGAAAATATCAAATAGGCAAATGGCTAAGTGAGCCTAGAGTTCTGGGCTAGCCACATGGATTTAAGTGTCATGAGTATGTGGAGGTACTTCAAAGGAGGAGGAAAGAGAAGATCACCTCTGCAGAATGTAGAGAGAAAACAGGGTCCAGAATGAGTTCTGAAAACTCCCAATTTACCTGGTTGAAAAATCTCTAAGGAATTTTCCAGTCCTTACTTAGAAGAGGTGGGGCAGAGGGAGGAGGAGGCAGCGAAGAACACTGGAGAAAGGGGAGCCAGGGGGTGTGGGCTCACAGACCTCAAGAGGCAAGCGAGAGAGCAAGACATTGCACAGGCTACTCCTGAAATTGCAAACCTTCCACAAACCCCTATTTTCCTAGAGTCCACATTCTTCAGTCTTAAATGCTCTTTCTTGAGCATGGGTTTAAAAGGCCAGAGGCCATGAGGCAATGCTGGGTACAGGAGAACTTCTCAGCCAAGTGCAGGCCAGGTCAGTGCCAGCGAGTTCGGGTCAGAGTTTCGAATCCTTCCATTCTCTTCCCACAAGGCTGCTTCTGCCAGGAGCATTAGACCAGAACCATCTCCCTGTTTCTTAACCACACTCATACTCTTCTATCCAAACAGCTGGGTCAAGGGGCTCGGATTATGAGTGGGCTGTCACGATACCCACTCTGGTTTTCTCTCCAAGGCTAGCCATGGCTGGAGCTGACTTTCTCTACCCCCTCTTCACAGTGCTAGTGGAAGGAGGTTTTCCTAAGCCAGAGAACAACCCGCTCACATTGAAAATCCAGTGCCAGGCAGGGTACATCAAGTCTCCTGGCCTTCCAGCCACCGTGAGCACCCCCGCTGCCCCACGTGGCTGCCATGAGATAGGTAATCAGATTCACTCCTCCTGGGATGGAGAGCATCCGGGCTCCAGTCTCAGCACTGCATTGGGGGACAAAACCTTGGCTGAGTGCTGTAATTCTCGGAGCCACAGATTTCCCAGTTGCAGAGTGAGGTGATACCCTCTGCTGGTCCGACGGGGGCCATTTCTGTACCTGTGTGTGGTGGTCAGCCTTGCAGGAGATGGCGGCCCACCTAAGCAAACCCAAATTGAAGCCTGTAATGCCTCCAGACTGTAAAATGGAAACCTAAGGACAACTAATCATAAACCACCGACTAAGCTTTAAACTATGGACATTCCAGAATTTCCTTCCTTTGCTTCTGCACCTTTGCTATAAAATCTCTCCCAGCTCCTGGCGGTGGAGCCCTGCTAACTGCTTCCCATTGGGCACTACCTGATCCCAGCTGATTTTTGCTCATCAAAAATTTCAATAGGCCTCAGTTTCTTCTTTAACACTGCCATTTTAAACTACCTCCTTCTGACTCCTTCCCCTACTTCTGTATCACCATAGCTGGGAGATCCCGTTCAACTATTTTTGAATTAAAACCATCAGCAGTGAAATTGGTGCTTCTATCTGGAGGGCCAGAGGACACCATATGGCTTTTCCTTTAGGAAAACTAAACACTGCTTCCTAAACCTTACCTTTCCCCACCCTTTGAGGCATAGATTACTCCACCTCTGCACTAAAACATCTTTCTGGATAATTTCATTATTGCTGAGAAAGACCCAGGTCACCTAATTTCCACATTTTCCCTGGGGCATAAATTCCAGAAGTTCACCTGCTGTGACTGTGTGTCTCCCACAGCTAACAACCTGCCTCCTAGAAACAGTGTTCAAAGGTCCGACCTTCTCATTTTATTTCTTGGCCTTGGGCTTGTGGCAATTACATGAAGTTTTCCTCTCCACTTCCATCCAGAAAGGTGAGACACCTGCTATATATTATTAATCCTTTTATCTCCCTTCTGTCTATTCATTGATGAATCCACCCCCTGACTTCCCCAGTCCAAGAGCGTAATCAAGACGTGGCAGCATGCCCAGCTGTCAGCCCTAACGGACAAGGAGGAGGAGGAAAAGCTGGCGGTGGTAAATACAGGGTCTCCTGACAACGCAAACTCAGAGTGTTTGTAAGGCGGGCCTGAGCTGGCCCTCACAAGCAGAATCCGGCCCAGATCCAGGTTAGCAAATATTCTCCCAGAGTGGAGCGGCTCCCCTTCCTGAGAAATGCGGGTGTCCTGTGGCTGGAGGGTCCTGAGAGAGCCTGTGCCCACTCCTGTCCCTGCCCTCACAGGCCTCAGATTCTCCCCCAACACCGGAGCCTTGGTATCCTTTAAGGTTCTGCCCACAACACAGTGTGGCTACACTTGCAATCTGAGGGCTGGGGGCAGTGGCCCCCCAAATCCCAGGCTCCTGTCTACTGAGCTGTACCTCATGCTGGCAAGACTGAGGGGGAGACCTTATGTGAGCTGGACCTTACGTGAGCTATGAGGCGCTTTTTGCCCCACGAGCCTTAGGCTCACATCAAGGGTGGCCCTGTCCTCTATGACCATGCTTCTCAACCCTGAGTACACAGGAGAACCATCAGGAAGCTTGAGAACATTCCATTAAGTGACAACCCCTGGAGTAGGCCAGAGTATTGGTAGTCGCTGTTTACATTTTGATCAAGACATAAAATATGTAAAATGTGACAAGTATACTAAAGTTGAGCATATATCTTAAGGACTTATTTTATATATATAAGTGTGTGTGCATGTTTATATATATATATATATAAGCTTATTTTCACAGATGTACAGACACAACACTCACACAACACAGATCAAGATAACACTTCCAGCATTCTAGAAAGTTCCCTTCAGCCTCTTCCCAGAAATCAACCACATTTTTCTATTACCCTGTTTCCATTTTCTGCCACCATGAATAAAGCTAGTATTCTTTTTAAACGTCCCTTGGTGGCATTTGCATTCATTTCTTTCAAATTCTCACCCTCCTTTTTAAAAAATTTTTAACAGATGGGCTAGTTTTGAGCGTAGGCACTTTTTGAAAGCTCCCCCTGCCTGCTGATTCTAATGTGCGGTCAGCGTTCAGACCCACTGTCTTAGGACTGCACAGATTGCCCACTGGAGGCACATGGTTATTCAAAAGACAGAGGCTGCTGTGTGAGGCTGAGCACAGCACTCCCGTCCCCTCTCCTTTGGGTCACACTTTGTACTTGACTTTCCAAGGATGGGGACAGGGGTGGGCCACGGTCCTCTGTGGGAGGCAGCTCCATGCCTATTGCAGAGGTGCAGTTAAGGGAGCGATCTAAATGGGATCACTGTCTGAGAGAGTCGGCTGGCCAGATGGGTCATTGTTCCTCCTACCAGCACGCCTGACTCTTCTCTTTTGGGTGGAGTTACAGGGGGAGAGAAAACCTCGAACTCCTCACCGGGGCTAACCTGTCTGCTGTTCATCGTACATAGAACCAGAAGCATTTGGTTGCTACTTTTTGGAGGGCTCTCTAGTTTCAGGGTTCTTCCTGAGATGAACTAGAAGCCATACGCAGAAGAGAGAGGACTCAGTGACTGCAACGAGGACCATCGCAGGGCAAGGGCGTGCTGTGCTTTGGACAAGAAGCTCCCGAGAGGGCTCTCAGGGGGCATCTATCCAGGTGGGGAGGGTTGGCAAAGAGGATTTTTCAGGATGTTTTTAAGATGCTTTAGACATTTCAGAGCAATTAATTTCAGAGTGATTTGGGGTCACTAAAGGCATCCCAGCCAATCGCTTATAGTCTGGCTCGGTTCTCAAAGCGTGTTCTGCAGATCAGTAGCATCAGTTCCCGGGAACATGTCAGAAATCAAAATTCTCCAGCCCCACCCAGACCTCCTGACCCAGAAACTCTGTGGTAAGGCTCAGCTGTCTGTTTTAGCAAGAACTCCGGGTGGACTGATCATGATACAGTCTGTCTCCTGTCTTCGTGTGTGGTCAGCAAGGAGAGGTGGGTCACATGTGGTAGATTTCCTCTTGCAGATTTTTTTAAGCAAAAAAATCCCCATTAGGGTTCCAAGCAGTTGCACAGATAAATGGAGGACTTGGAGGCAACCTGCCATTTTAACAAGCTTGCTTAGTAACTTTCAGCTCCGTTTTCCTATTCTGGTCTAAGGAAGGGCAGTCCAGTAGGCCTGCGCTGAAGAGGAAAAAGAAGTGACAGGGAGAGAAGTCGCCCCCTGCAGGGCCCTGCGGGCAGCGCACAGAGCCCCCGTGTTACAAGGACCCGGCCTGCTGGCTGGGAAGCCCTCAGAGCGTCTGCTGAGCCCAGGCTGGTGCAGTGTGAGTGGCAAGTCAAAGGTCTATTA